GCCCTCAATTCGCCTACCCGCCCCGCAATTCACCATTTTATCCATCAATTGTTTCACATGGCACAGGCCCACATTCCCCAAACCAAAAAAAAACCCCCACACATCCACACCACAAACCTTCATAACACCCCTAACATGCACTTTCATTCTTTCATTCTTCATCTCCATCTAACTTCCCAATCACCACAACCCATCACAATCCAGCACAGCTCACTTTCCCCTTTCCCCTTCCCCGCTTCCCACTTCCCACTTCCCGCTACCCCCCTCAAACAAAAAGCCCAAACCCTCCAAAACGCACATATATAATACAAGCTGAACAACATCGCCATCGCCATCCCCAGCGCCAAACCGGCAAACAACCACACAAGCAAGCCATCGACTTCGGGAACCGGCCAACCGGCCAACCAACCCAAACCCCACGCACAATACAAACCCACAATAACAACAGCAACAACCAAAAAATCCCCCTCGCATCCACAGTGATGAAAACAGCAAAAAAAGAAGGAAAACGAGGCGGGAAAAAGATGAAGAAAGAGAAAACGCCAAACGATATCCACACCGACAAGTCTCTAAAAAGAATAACAAAGACAGTATGGCTAAATATAAGACCAAGAAGCCAAACCATTCACATACCCCCTCCCCTCTGCACGCCGCCAACAGCGCCATAGACTCATGCAACACATTGTAACCACCCTTGACACCCTGGAGCCAGTCGATTCGATGCATATACGTGAACAAGGAAAAAAAACACGGGTGCGCCGCCAAGTGTTTGGTCGTTGTTGTAGTAGTTGTAGTTGTAATTTATTAATCCTCCAAGAAAAGTGAAAAAAGAATTCTCAAATATCCCCAAATATCAACGTTGCCATCCTCCCCGATCCTGTGCATGCCTGCTCCAATCCATATGGCCTGGTCCCGTCGGTGCCCTCTGGTCCGGGCGCTGCTCCGGACCTGATCCCTGTGGTGGTGGAGGTGGGCCTCTCATATCTCTACTTCGCATCAAGTTCTCCCTGTACCGCGCATCCTGCATTTCTCGTTCCCGAAGTTCGCGATCATGCATCTCACGCTCGCGATCACGCCGCATTTGTTCTTCCCTGTTCATCGCAGCATGTTGTTGGGCTTGTTGAGCTTGCTCATCGCGCATCCGTTCTGCGATGCTGCGCTCGCGGGGGAACGTGGGCTGGGAGAAACGGTGAGCCGGCTCTTCGGGAGGCCGCTGACTGTATAGTGGATGATTGGCTACACCCAGTGAGGAGTGAGGTGGATGCTGCAACTGCGGGGTCTGACCATGCTCAGGTCTCGAGAGCGGAGTTTGCGAGCGCTGAGGATGGTAGGAGCGCTCCTGTGGGTGGTATCGCATATCTTCGTGCATCGGTGGGCCCGCAGACCGCAAGGCAGGGTTTGAAAGCTGCTCGCGTAGGTATTCAGTTCTCTGTGCAAGCTCACGACCTGTGTCGCGATCCGAGTTGCGAGAATCTATGTCACGGTGAGGTTCACGGGGATCACGAGGACGATACGGCTCATTCAAACTTCGCAGACCTCCAAGTTGCGGATGCCCGGGATGTTCATTCGGGGTTTGTTGGTTCGAGTATGTCAGGTTTGCGTTTTGTGTCTGCGAGTGCTCATTGCGACCAGAAGCGTCTCTTTGTTGTGCAATATGGCTGGTGTGAAGGTGTGGGCTAGGACGCATACCCATAGGACCCGGCGGTGGTGCACTCCCGGGTGGGTCAACCTGTGCATATGGGTTTGGCTGCAGGATCTGAGCAGAAGCACTGGCTGCCTGAGAGTGCTGTCCAGAAGTAGTGCTAGGGATGACGTGCCGATTGGCCTGCACAGGCGCCCCAACTATACTTGGAGTCCGTGAGTGCATGTGGGGAGAATTACTATAGCCAAGGGGTGGCGGCGAAGGGTTGTGCCGCACTGCGTTGTGCTGGGCAAAAACGGAGCGGTGGTTACCGAAGATTCTGTTGTCGTTGAAGGTGGGCTGTGGAGGGCCGGGCTGCGACGAAGGAAGCGATGTTGGTGGCGGACCATGACTTTGACTGTGCAGATAAGGGGGACGCTGTGGCCAACCCTCACGTGGTCGGCCTCCCACCGGTTGCTCATTTGGCATTTCAACTGTCCGGTTCGTTACAGTCGCGGGCAGTGCAGATTGTTGGGCATACGAGGGCCTATTGTAACTTGAATGACTGATTCCTTGATCATCGTAAATAGAACGCCGCGATGACGTTGAATAGGTCTGAGATGTTGGCGGGGGAGGAGCGATGGGTGTTGACTGCTGGGGGGTTGTGCTATGAGATCCCGGACCTGGATCACTTGGCTTCTTTCTTCTAGGCTCTTCTGGTGGTGTGTCATTGAGCAGTGACATCAAATTGGACTTCCTAGGTTCCGCTGCTGGCTTTACAACACTGGGAGGCGGAGCCTTTTGCATCGGAGGCTGGCTTTGCTGCTGACTGTGGTGTTGGGATTGCGACATTGTTGGAGGCTGAGGCTGAGGTTGAGGCTGAGGCTGAGTTTGAGGCATAAGCGGTGGCGGATTCCGAGGCTCTTCCTTGACCGGTGGGGTGAGAATGGAAGACCGCGGAGGCAACTGTTGCACGTTAGGCATAGAAGCAAGCCCTTGATTATACGTGTCCGACGGTGAATGACCAATGGAATGAGCTTGGGACACGTGACGAGAATGCGAGTAGGGCACTGGTCGATGCTCGGGGGACTGGAGAACAGAGTTTGAGCGCACAGTAGATATCAATGGTGGTTGTCCTGGAGCAAAGGGCCGGTGATTTTGCAACTCATGCGAGATTCGTCGCTGGTCGTGGAATCGATGCTGAGCTTCCTGCTCTTGTTGAACACCAGGCCGAGCCAAATTCTCCCGATCCTGATAGGGCAGGCTTCGATAGACCGGAGACTGATGCTGCTCTTGTGAGCGGCTCTGCGCATGTTGTTGAAGATGCCTAGGCGGTTGCTGATGCGCTGATGATTGCGAAGGTGTGCGATTCTCAACGCGGGGAGGCATATCGTCCGAGAAGTAGCCGGATCGAGGTCCATGCTGCGACTGCTTGTGCTGAGACATGGAGTGCTGATGGTGGTGCTGTGGTTGCGCACGCTGGGGTGGAGCGGGAGGCGACTGCTGCAATGGCAGCGAAGGAACAGAGACGAGACTAGGCTCTGGTTGGGAAGGATATCCAGATGCAGGTAACGAGCGCTTACCCTGTACGGGTGCTTGAGCGATGGTGGAAAACCTAGATGAGGAAGCTGAATGCGGAGAGGATGCCTTTGGTAGTGCAAGCGGGTTTAGAAGAGGTGACTTATGCTCGGGTGTAGGTGCGATTTGCCGAATCGGAGCAGCCTGTGTACTTTCGTATCGTCTTTTAGGCGCTGGAGTGGGTGTTGGCGGTGGCCCGAGATCGTCGCCACGTTCCCTTCGAGCGTCTGCTTCTTTTGCCATTTGCTCCAGTTCTATCCGCCCGCTTTCTACTAGGCGAAGGTACTGATTCTTGATCATGGTGTGTGTCTTGGTGCCCATATGATTTGCTATAGCTAACCAGTCAGTACCGAAGTGCGCGACATTTTTGTCAAAGTCTTGCAACTCCGAAACTGACCAATAGCTTGATGGGCCAGGTCTTGCAGGGGGAACTGGGATCTTCGATCGATCCAATAGACCGTGTGGTAGTTCTGCAAGCAATTGTTGATTGCCCGTCATGAGCATTTGCTGCTCTTCCATCATGCCAGCATGAATGGGTAAAGGCATCTCTCCCAGTGGCCGCTTGCTCAACTCGTCCTCTAATTTGACACCAAGACTTGGACCTTTTTCTTTGCGGTCGAATTTGATTGGGGAGCCAACCGGTGCTGCGGCAAGGGGCATGTTCTTAGTTTTGCGACCAATCTTATCCTTTCCTTTGCCACGTCTATTCGCCTTTTCTTGTGAACCGTCAGCATCAGTTTGACGTCGTGCACGTCCTGGCACTACAGCCATCGCATTGGCATCAATGTCTTGTTCAGATCCGCCAAAAGTCGGGGCTGCAGAGCGTCGAGGGCGTCCAGTTTCAGTGACGGGCAGCGGCAGCCCATCCTCTCCCGATTGTTCCGGTCGTTCCATGTTTGCAATGGCTGCGCGGCCACGAGCCACAGCTCCCCCTCGTTTCTTGGCTGCGCCGCGTTTCCCTCTGAGCTTACCCTTGTACTCCTTGCCCCACTTGGTGGCATAGTAATGGTTGATACAATCCTTGTAGGTTCGCTCTGTGCCGACCTCTTTGTACAGTAGTTCAGCTAGCTTGCCCCATTTCTTCGCATATTGATCCTTGTAGTTGTGCACCATGACACGATGCTCCTCCTCCGTAAAGTCATCCTCGGGCGGTTCATAATGAAAGGCGAAAATGCCTTGACCTGGTTCGCGCTGAAAGTTGGTGTCAATATAGCGGCGACGCTGCGCTTCAGACTCGGTGAGTTCTACGGGCAGATCGGCTTCCTTCTCCGGATCGGCCATTGATTTCCGTGGTTCCTTGTCTTTCTTTCCCAGCTTCTCTTCCTCTGCCGTCTTGAGGGACTCTGCAATGACTGCCTCGATGTCCAGTTCAGTTGCCCAGCGACTTGCGTGGCCCCTACGACCAGTGGGTGCAAGTGAACTATCCATTATTCCTGTCATCGCCGTACTTTGGATATCAGGAGTGAGCGCTTTCAAGGTCGGCTCCGCCGAAGGCTGTCGTTCCGGGTCATCTTGTTCACGCTCCTCGTCCAAAGGGCGCATGTTAGTCCGCCATTGTTTGTACAGGGCAGCATACTGGCGCAATGTTTCATCTTGGTTCAACTCTGGCTCAATACTCTTGCGCAGTTTTTCACGCATAGCAACTCTGACGGAATCAGACAGAGCTGGTCTATCTTGCCCAATGTCAGATAATGGACTTGGTGGCCCAGACACAAGGTAAGGCAATGAACTCAGATCAGGAAGACTGTCGTCATTGGGGGAGGACCCTTCACGCCGAAGCCTAAGGGCCATGGTTGCTGGAGCCGTCGATCTGTCGCGTTTGTCATCCTTGTGCTCGATCCCTCCCATTTCAACATCATCCGAGCGATCATCCTTTGGCGTTGGAAGATCAGCAATGACACTCTCCGGTCGCCGTTGTTCAAGGAGAGAATTGTCGTCATCCGTGTTCATGGGCGCACTCTCATCTTCAACATTCCGCTTTGACTCCATCTGTTTCTGTGGAAGATGGTCAACCGTCAAGCTGGAGAGCAAGACGATTTCCTGTAATGGTGTCGTAGCACGTAAATGTGGTGCACTCAAATCGATGCGTTTGGCTTCGAGACGAGCCACCTCCCGGTTATATTTCGCTTCAGACTCCGCGAAGTCATCTTCGTCCAAGTCAACATCATCATCATCGGAATCCTGAAGAGCTGCTTCTTGGGCGGACGAGGCAGTAGACATGGGGAGTTTTAGCAGCTTGGGGGACGGTTCCGCCATCGTTACATCTGAATAACGTCGCGCTTCGATGGGGGTCGGTTTCGGTGAAGTCGCCGTAGAACGTTCTGCAGACGCAGCTCGTTCTCTGGGCCTCACTGGCTCAGTCGCCATTTTCGCCATGGATGGCGATACAGACTTGGCTTGCTCTCGTTGGGTCTGTGTGATAGAGAAGTGATTTTCAAGTCTCGGGGCCTTCGGGATAGTACCAAACTGCCGGTCCCGATCATCCGAGGGAAATTCACGCTTGGTTGGAACCACGGCACGTGCGGGCATCAGACCTGGTCGTACCCATTGCATAACTTTTAAGACCTCCACCC